TAGGAATTTAATTGGAGTAAGATTTTAATTTTATTTTTTCTTCCTTATTTGAATTGTGTGGCAACTATATAAAGTATAATTTTCCCAAAGAGAATCTCATAATGAATAAATTTCTCAAAGGAGGATTCTAGGTTAAGAGGATTTGTGCTCGTGTATTTTTCTACTCTATTAACTTTTACACGAACTTACAAAGCTTCTTCATGCTTCTTTTGCAGGCATCTCCTTCAATTGTGGACATTACAATTTGAAGTATGTTTAGCTAAGTACTAATCAGAAAGATTTAAAGAAGCACGTTAACTTTAGAGGTTTTATCCTGATGAATAATCCCATTTTGACTTCAACAATTTATTCTCTTGTTTTAAAATTTTGTAAGTTTTATCTTCCTCTTATAATTTCATTCTTGAATTCACTGCATACCACGATATAAAATATTATGGTCATACCTCAGACATTTTTGCAAAGTCCAAGCTACATTGATCTCTCCCCAAGTATCAAGGTATCATATCTAGAAGTAGTTTACATAATAAACTTAATAGTATTTGTAACCCTCAGGGGTTGGCCTGGTGGCAATTGACTTGAGCCTTGGGGTTTGCTCCCTTTTAAGGTTTCAAGTTCGAAACCCACTGGGTGCAAACAATTTCTGAGGTTCATCGGACTGGGTAAAACCTGACTTAACCGTGGTGCACTTGCGGGAAACTCCTTGCCGAGGGCCTGTGCACCACCGGGATTAGTCAGGGCTCTAAGAGACTCGGACACCCGGTGCAAATCAAAAAAAAAAAAAAACTTAATAGTATTTGTTTGGTATTGCTGCTGTTATCAAAAATTTATTTTCTTTGATCCTTTAGTGCCCTTAGATTAAGTCTTTCAATTTGTTAATAAGAAAAATATTTTCTAATGTGACTTAATTTTTCTTCAGTACTATTGTCTCTTCTATTTTTGATTGCTTATATTTTTCGTTTTTTTTCTTGACGTGATTTGGTGTTTAGTGGCCGAGTCACAGTCGAATGGATAAAAATTTTGGAAAATTAATGTGCAAATAGGGAAAAGTATTTCTCTCATATATATAAAAATTTGATTTTCATCTACTTTAAGTTTCAAGTTTGAAATATTTGTGAAACACAATTTATAATATAATATATATGTAATATTTTAAATATATATATATATATATATATATATATATATATTAATTTATTTATTTATTGAGATAGGGTACACGCGCAACGCGCGTATCCTAAGACTAGTACTATAAAGATGTATGAAGATGGGTATCTGCATTTTGTAGGAGGGTGGCGGGAGGACGGGGGTGACATATTATTTTCTACACTTTATATATGTAGGGGGGAAGGGTAAAGGATAGAGATATTGGGATTTACTCGAACTTTTTAATGGAGAAATTAGTAGAAAATTAATACGGAAGATATGTTTTAGGTGGAAGAGAATCTTGTGAGATATATTTATGTTTTAGGTGAGAGAGAATCTCATGAGATACATTTTAGGCGAGAGAATCTCAAGAGATTTATTAGGGATATGAAAAATTGTAGATTTCAAAATAAATTGTAGAGTATATAATATAATTTTCTAAAAGCAGTTGTAACTTATTTAAATAAGTTCTAAATAAGTTATTGTGTGTAAATTTCTTAATTTTTGTTTAGTATAGTAGAAAAGTAAGAGCGCGAGGAGGGAGTATAAACTAAAATAAAATGGGAAAGTTTAGTTTCCTTAAAATATTGGTAGAGTTTATCGAATTTCCGTCAATCTCTCTTTTTGTATCAGTTGACGATCGATAATATAGAATCAAAATTGGTTACAGCAGCATCAACAAGAAGAACCGAACAGAACCTAAAATCTCTATTTATCACCCATTAATAATTCCCGTCGTTCTCTCTTTTCGTATCAACTGACCGATAATATAGTTGCGTGGAGCATCAAAATTGGTTACCTCAGCAGCAACAAAATGTGCATAAAGTGTGTTAAAAGTGCATAGTATCTTAAGTAATTTGAGATAATTTTTAATTATGTGGGCAATTGGTTAATTATTAATTAATGGGGATTAACCAGTTAACAAATTAAGTGGACAATTTGGTGGATAAGGTTGTAACGTGGCATCCCACTATTCAACTCAATGACTCTTAAATTGAATTGCAAGGTGTATACTGATGGCTAAAGTAAGCTTATTAGGTGGGCCCACATCAATTCTAACAAAAGTTATCTCTAAGAATATCAAAAGCAACGTGAGATTTTGATAACAAAAGTTATCTCTAACTTAAAGGTAGGGGTGTTCAAAACCGAACCGAAACCGAAGCTTAATGGCTTATTGGTATCGGGTTAACGGTTTAACGGACGAGGAACGGATTAAAATTATTTTTACTAACGGCTTATCGGTTTGGGGGCGGATTATTCAATTTTCTTAATGGATAATCCGTTAACCGTTAAGAATATATATCTACATATAAAATTTATTTTTATCCATATATATATTAAATAATCAAAAACCCTTCTTCCTCCAGTACTCTATCAAAGTGAATTAGAATAAAAGAAAGCCAAATAAAAGGAGTCATCTAACTATGACAAAAGACAGAATTTGCTGTCTGAAACAAGATAACAGCACCAGTTACACCACTGGTTCATCAACTTTGCCTGGGTTTTAAGGCATCCTAGAATTCTAAGCATGACGAACATTTGTTTTAACAATAGCCAATTGGAAATCTTTCACATGGACTTAGGCCAGTGTGCATAAACATAAACAAGATTCTAGACAGATGATTTACCCATCACGGTGTCTCTTCTGCTTCGCCCCTCTTAGTACATCAACCACCTATTTAAACATACAGAGACTAAATTTTATTTTATTTTGATTGAATTAGGCCGATAAACCGCCCGATAAGAGCTAAACCGATACCAATCCGTCCGATAGCTTATCGGGTGGCTAGCGGATTAATACATTTAAAAGTCGATAACCGATAAGCCAAACCGTAAAGAGTAAATAACCGCCTAATCCGCCCGATAAGCAGCCCTACTTAAAGGAGATGCATATTAAAGTGAGATCTTCAGAAGTATCTTCAACAATATATCAATTAATAAGATTTCATAACATCTTAAGCAACGTAAGATTTGCAATTTTAACAGAGTACGGTGCAATCTTTCTCACGTATATCATACGGACTTTCTCCTACTTCGATCCGCCATTACATGTTATCGCAATCAACGGGGGTTAAAGGGATTGTTAAAAGAATCGGTTCAGGTATGTTAAGGCTATCCCTTCTTTCTTTTGGCATGATCTATACGACACAAACGAAACGAGCAAATGCACAATTTCCATAAATAACTCTATTCATAGAAATACTAGAGATGCTTATGTTCTTGGTTCCCTATGTGTCACATTATTCTATCATCTGTTCATTGGTCTTAATAAATACGTAAGTTGATAAAGGTTATTTCATGATATTAATCAGAGACATAATGGTCTTATGACGTTCCGAGAGATTTTATTGATGTACTTCTCATGCATTGCATTCATTTATACATGTACATTGGCCCATGACCAGATGATATTATATACGCGTATTTATACGTATATATATATATATATATATATATATATATATATATATATATATATATATATATGTATATGGGATATGGGAAAAGGTTACAACGTTATATACGTATCACCACCTGATCAACTGGTATACGTTGATGATTTTGCCCATAGTGGCCGAGATGATATGATGCGATGCCCTCAGAGGCTTGATGATGTTATGAACACATGTACCTATGCACGACACGACATTCATACGCATATGCTTGACACTATAAATATTACATGATTTACAGTGTTATCTAGACTTACANTCCTTATATACTCGATACATTATTTGTACTGACGTCCCTTTTCCCTGAGGATGCTGCGTTTCATGCCCGCAGGTCCCGATAGACAGGTCGAGAGTCCTCCAAGTAGGCTATCAGCTCAGCGGAAGATGTTAGTGCGCTCCATTTGCTCCGTAGTTGCTTGTTTGGTCAGTATGATTTAGATGTGTGTTGTTTGGTATGGCGGGGCCCTGTCCCGACTTTTATGATAAGTATGTACTCTTAGAGGCTCGTAGACATATGTCATTTATACGGATACTTGTATGGCCTTGTCGGCCTATATGTTAAGTATATAAGGGATCACATTGGCCTTATAGACCCATATGTCACATGTATGAGTTTCTATATCAGGCTGGGTCGTTCTATGTCGGTATTCCCTCATGTTTACTCTGGTTATCTCATGACACCCCTTCTGGCCCACTTACGTATGATGATGTAATAAGAAAGATACATTATGTTGGTACTCGGTTGAGTAAGGTATCAGGTGCCCGTCGCGGCCCATCGGTTTGGGTCGTGACAATATCTAGGGTTTCTAATTTGTCGTTCTTAGGAGGCGATCAGACAATATTTATTGGGTTGTAGTACACGCGCAATGTGCGTATCCTAAGACTAGTACTATAAAGAAGTATGAAGAAGGGTATCATCATTTTGTAGGAGGGTGGCGGGAGGACGGGGGTGACATATTATTTTCTCGCTTTACATATGTAGGGGGGAGGGGGAAAGGATAGAGATATTGGGATTTACTCAAACTTTTTAATGGAGAAATTAGTAGAAAATTAATACGGAAGATATATTTTAGGTGGGAGAGAATCTGGTAAGATATATATTATGTTTTAGGCGAGAGAGAATCTCATGAGATACATTTTAGGCGGGAGAATCTCAAGAGATTTATTAGGGATATGAAAAGTTGTAGATTTCAAAATAAATTGTAGAGTATATAATATAATTTTCTAAAAACAGTTGTAACTAATTTAAATAAGTTCTAAATAAGTTGTACTCTGTGTAAATCTCTTAATTTTTTTTTAGTACAGTAGAAACGTAAGAGTGGAAGGATGGAGTATAAGCTAAAATAAAACGGGAAAGTATAGAAACCTTAAAATATTGGTAGAGTGCATTTAATTTCCGTCACTCTCTTTTTGTATCAGTTGACCGATAATATAGAATCAAAATTGGTTACAACAGCAGCAACAAGAAGAACCAAACAGAACCCAAAATCTCTATTTATCACCCATTAATAATTCCCGTCAATCTCTCTTTTTGTATCAATTGACCGATAATATAGTTGCGTGGAGCATCAAAATTGGTTACCTCAGCAGCAACAAGAAGAACCGAACAGAACCCAAAATCCCAAATCTCTCCCTCCGCATCAATGGCTGAAACTCCACATACCCAATTAGATACCCAGAAAAAAATTTCGTTCAGCATTTGGCCCCCAACACAGCGCACCCGTGACGACGTCGTTCAGCGTCTCATCGAGTCTCACTCTTCCCCTTCCATTTTCTCCAAACGTTACGGCACTCTCACAAAAGAAGAGGCTTCAGATATCGCCAGGCGCGTCGAGGAAGGGGCCTTTACCTTTGCTGGATCCTCTGCCTCCTCTGACGACAATGAATTCGAGATCGTTCATGCATATAACGGGGTTCAACTCAACTCATTACTTTCAACTTGAATCATTCTACATATATGCAAAAAGACGCTATGGTTCAATTTATGTGATACTATTTACTTCTTAATTATTTTTAACTTTATGTCAATTGGCACCTCTTCGCCGGAAAATTTTAGGTAGGTACAAACTATTTTTTTATGTATACATTCTGTGTATGGAATCCCCTTAACTTTTTCAATGTATTTACTTCTTTAAATTTTAATTCCCCTTGATAAAAATTCTGGCAACGTTACTGAATGAGATAATTTATAGCCACGAAAATGTCTATGGTTTGCTTTAGACCACAGGTTTGAAAAGTTCTTCTTTCGGCAAAGAGTGTAATTTACTACATCTCACCTAAACGTGGTATCCTCTGTCCAGATGCACTATATGTATCAAGAAATTCACGAAATATCTCTAAATATTTGATTATATATTAACATTGTATATTTACTTGATATCAAACCTGAATCCCATCTTTGCACCTAAATTGTGATATGTATCTGTTTAGGAATACTACCGTGTATGTGTATAATAAACTGCACTTTTAAGATCCAGTGACTAAATGGTTGATATGTATCTGCTATAGGTATACTCCAAGGAGATTAGCAAGCGTATGCTGGATGCTGTGAAGTCTATATCCGCTGCTACCACGACCACTGAAGATGACAGTGGACCATGGGAGCCGCTGTAGGATGCTTCGAAGTCTTCTGCTCGCACGGGGGAATTCTCATCCGTTGAAACCAGCCACTGAAAAATGCAATTGAGGTCATTTAGTTTCGAATAATTGACTCTGCAGTGAGAAAAATTATAGGTTTTAGTTAGTTTAGTTTTACTGAGATCTCATTGTGTTGTTTATGGATTATGTAGATCGATATATATAATGTTGGATCAATTGAAACATCTATTTGAGAGCCTTTGGATTCATTGCCTTTCTTCAGTAACATGCATATGCATGAGGGTTCTTGATAGGCAAAATACAAAAGAGGAAGAAGCAGGCGGATGGGTCGAGAGTCTGAAGAAGATGAGAGACTTGTGTGTGTGGGTGTGTGTGGGTGGGGGGGGGGGGTTTGAGAGGACACGTGTTACGATCTTATTGATGCGTGATAATACACATATTTTGAAGAACTGGTAAAAAAAAAAGTGTTGTGTCTCAGGCACAGTCTGGAAAGGTTGACGGTGTAATATGATTTTCGTGGTTAGAAAGTGTAACAGGGATTTGATTCATAATTTAGGAGGTAACTTGTATATTTTGCCTTCTTGATATTAAGTATAGATTCTGCCTATGCTTTGTTATATCTGACACTAATGTCCATTGATGCAGATGGGATTGACTTGATTTTGTATTTTATTTCTGGGAGTCGGTTGAAAATTGGGGGATGCGTTTTATTTTTGTTTTTGTTATAAAATAATAAAAGAAGAAGAACACTATTGTAGAGAAAAGTAGAGAGAGAGAATTCTTATTAAATTTTAGGATGAATTACAATGGAATAGAACCCTCTATTTATAGGGAGAGGGTGGCTTAGCCACCAAGCAATGAACCCTAGAATCTCTCTAAATATAGACATTCACAATAAATATAATTGTATTTATAACACTCCCCCTTGAATGTCTATTCAACAGATAATGTGCCTCGTTAAAACCTTAACTAAAATAAAACCCAGTGGGAAAAAAATTCTAGAGAAGGAAAAAGAGTACACATATCTAACAATACGCCTTTTGGTTGCCTCGTTAAAAACCTTGCAAGGAAAACTCAGTGGAACAAAACCTTGTAAGGGAAAAAGAGTACAACGCATATTAGCTCTCCCTGATGAGAGCATCAATTCACATCCTTGAGCATTTGCATTCCAATCTTGTGCACCATCTTCAAAAGATCTTTGGTAGAGATTTGATGAACAAATCAGCCATATTAACTTGAATGAATATATTGCACCTTGAAATCATCATTCTTGATAGAGATATAATGTCTTCATAAATATCGTAGAATGGCTCTTCAATATCTCTATGGAGGTATTCTCGCTATCACATTATCACGCTTATAGTTATAGCAAGATACATATATGCACAAATTGCAATGAGGATGTGGTACTTTAAGATCAAAAATTGTATATGCTTCAAGCAATTTAAATCTTTCAAGGGTCTCATAAGTTAAGCCATATAATTCATATAATAGACTTTAATTAGATGCATATCAAGGTTTCATGTCATGCTAGACAAATAAGATATCGAAAACTGATTGCACATATCATTGGCTTTATACTTTCAAGTATTTGAACTACATGTTCAAAACTACATGTCTTTCATATGAATTCAAATTATACTTGAATTGTGGCTCTTCCATTTTGCCAATATTTTTGTGTCTATATTCGATAGACTTAAGATCCTCATCTATCTTAGCGCTATGATAGATGTCGTCGACAAATATTTTATATCGGTTCCAACCTCCTTATTTTTCATAAAGACATAACAAAGAGATCTCTTCATTCATATATTCAGGTACCTGAATCTCTCATGAGATTTTATGAAGTGTTATGTCATGTGATCTTCTAGATCACTTGCCTCCTTTATTATGATCATTTAGATCATTTGCTCATCTTCTTTATCAAGAAGTTTATTCGAAACCGATTTGTCTATACGCTTCAAGCGTACCATAGACTTTGTCCTTCTAGGACTTAATAGGAGCATTTGCAATGAGAATATAGTTACTTTCTTTGGGTCAGCAAATGCGTCTGGCATGCTTTGCAATAAATTGCACATGAATTATCCTTTTATGAACTTCAAGTTCATATTATCTTATTCGAGGATCTAGATGTACAAGTGATAATTCATTCCACGTAACCTTTTCTCAACTGTTTATCATGTCTCCCCCTCATGTTAGAAAAACTAACTTGTTTTCTCAACTTTGAGAACCCATCTTTGTGCGTTATGGTGTTAATCAAAATATACACCACACATCAATGATAATAAGATGGAATTATTTGGTTCCTGACCATGTACCACTTGTGAGGGGAGAAATTAATATACTTTCGTATATAACGTATATCAAACTGATATACAAAACTTTGTTCTCATAAGCAATTGTTTTGGCTATTAAGTGGAGGCACTCAATAAATCATTTTGCTAAACCAGCTGTGATGTAGACCAACTTATCAAGATGAACTTCTTGAATAGAAATCTGGAATATGCTCTAAATTAATTTATTGAGCAAGTTACCTCGCAAACACCATGTTGCGGGTTAATAATAATCGCACATGTAACCATCTCATAGATGCATCTTATGTGGTATACATGGCAGGTGAATGGGCCCATATTCACCTTTGATATTTCCAGCATTCATAGGATTCAATCCCAATTTTAGTTGATCTATTAATTAATGAGAACAAGCAATATAAGAGAATTCGTAAAGAACTTTCTAGTTCTTTAATATTTACCCATGTGAATTCTCTATTATTTTTGCACATCATACATGAATTAACATGGCTAAACCAAGTATGCCAACTGGATAAATTATCAATATTGATAAACTTCAGGTTTACACCATGATGTGTGCAATTATGAATAAACTCCAAGTTTATTATGATAAGGGTTTTTATATCAATAAATATCCGCTTCATTGTGGTATTCTTTTGTTTATGTAGTACAAATTGGAGAATAAAGTGGGTAGCTTTTCACATACATATTACCCCGCTACAAGATGTAGTAATGGAAGATATTAAATCTTTCCTTTATTTATAGTCTCAATATAATCAACCGCTTTCGCGTATACTTTGGAAACTGAATAAGTTTCTCTGAGACTTACTACAACACAATACCTTATTGGTAATTAATTGTGTTTCTCCAAAATAGTATAATTGGCTCTTGCAGAGTTCTCAATTAATTTTGTAGTACCACATATTCATCAACACCCATATGGTGAATATCTCTTTTAAAGAGAAAGTTATACCATTATGGTTATGGTCAAAATTATACGCAAGATCTGTTTCTTGCATTACCGTTGACTTTTAATAATCACAATGCCAAAATATTTTGGCGTACAATAGGTACGTGACCAATGACCATTCATGCCATAATAATGATATTATTTTCTTATATCATCTCAAACCTCCTTCTAGAGGTGAGTGTGGTATATACCACTAGCACGCTCATATTCTTCCAAAAATGAATATGTATTCTTAAATCAGATGTTGTCACATTCACATCATGAATAGACCATAATCATCTATATGTGCTTTATAAAATTTCATGTGAAATCGATGACAAATATTTTCACTAGTGGGGGATTATTTTGAGAATCCTTATTATTCTCATTATCACAATGATGACGATTATAATTTCGTCTATTGCCACGTCCACATCCATTGATACATTCATAGTGATAATTTTGTCTTCTTTCAGACTTATCACATACTGCTATCACATTCTCTTAAGGGAATGAGAATGGAGCAAATTCAATGGGACGAGTTTCCACTTTTTGTGCCCATAATCATACATGAATTTGATCATGGCAAGACATAGAAACTTTTACCACTTCAGGTGGTTATAATTTTTTACAAACTCCATTAGAGTTATAATCAAACTTTGTTGTCTTTGCTTGTATATAAAATCAAAGTATAGAATAAAAGAGAAAAATACGGTAAAATACTTACCTTAAATCCAGAATTTAATCATGAAGGAAGTTCATGGAATAATTGACAATCATTATGCTCAATCCCAAAGCTTCTACTCAATTGGTTAGAGTCTCGTGCTGATAACGTGTTATAAAATAATAAAAGAAGAAGAACACTATTGTAGAGAAAAGTAGAGAGAGAGAATTCTTATTGAATTTTGGGATGAATTACAATGGAATAGAACCCTCTATTTATAGGGAGAGGGTGGTTTAGCCACCAAGCAATGAACCCTAGAATCTTTCTAAATATAGATATTCACCATAAATATAATTGTATTTATAACAATTTTTCGATTCTTCACTTCTTTTACTATTATTAACTTGTCTATGTGTATGTGATCACAAACTCAAATAAAGCAAGGGGATTGAGGTTCTGTGTGATCACAAACTCACATTGAGCTTCTTATGTACAGTATTTGTTTGTTTGCTGTTCATTTTCAGGGTTGGCTGGTGTTTCTGGGCATAAATTAAGTACTCTTTGATGCTTCTGTTGTCGCCCGGTTTTGTGCTTCCTGTGACAAGTCGGGTCTTATAGAGATGTTTTAAGACTCAACAATAGACTTATTTCTGGTCATTTGCATTGAGGAATCTTGGCTTCTCTGCACGTTCTGCTATTTAAGGGAGTATGTCACAAGGATTTCTTACCTTCAGTATGCTGCAACTTACTACTTGAATTTAAACCAAAAATCGAGGTGCGCAAAGCTGGCCTGGACACCATGATTATTAGAAAAAAAAAAAAAAAACATGAAACTCCTTCGAATCCAACTCTTTGCGCGATGGAGCAGCAACATTCTATTCAAGTTTCTTATTTCTCTCAATCTAGTAGAGAGGTGGTTGTTTATGATGAATTTGAACTGGGAACGTGTCTAGTATATTCAAGCAACGAGGTAGGGTCTCAGTAAGGTCCCAATACTTGGTCTATTGTGTAACTTAAACAATTTCCACTGCTGATAGAATACAACCTCAGATTGTATGTGGAATGAATGTGCAAGTAACAGGACAAAATTGGGTAGTTGGAAGCCTTTGCATTGACTGTTTTTGCATGGATATACTCGCCCTTTTAGAGTTTGAACCCAATTTTAAGTCTTGGTGGGCACGCAGAGTTACTTAATACATGTGCTGGTGGGAAGTAGTAGATATTTAGTGGAATAATCGAGTTGCGCGGTCTAGACACCACCCTCAAGGGCCAAGGCCTCAACCACAAAAAGGAAAGGACATGGACGATGAAATATCCTTAAACTGGGAAGAATCTGAATGTGTAAATAAACAAACGCCATCTTAGGGATGTTTGTAGGGAGTTGGAACTTAACTTGACTTACATAGATGGTTAACAGTAGATCTACTGTTTGTTAATTCCTTCTGTAAACCAAGACTCCAAGAGCCTAATGACTAGTTTTATTCACGGTTACTTATTTGCTATGGTAATCAAACATAATTTGAACTTCAAGTGATCATAAATTAATATGCCGTCATAGTACAATAGTAAATTTATCCAAAAGAAAGTTAAATATCACATAAACCATTAATCTAGCTTAACAACTTTACTTCAAATACTAACGTAATCATTACACCGTAAGACATGGCCTAAATTGGTCAATGGCTAATCTTGGAGCCAAAGAATAAAAGTATTTTCTTAATACTTTTATTCTTTACTTGGGGACCAAGAACTTTTGCCTCATAATATGGGTCATCTTACATCATTCGAATCATCCCACATTTTGAATAGAAACTCCTTTTGAGTTTTCTTGTAAAAGTGAGTTTTGTTATATTTGTGAACCTCTTCTTTGTGAGTGAATAGCGAGGTTATTCTCTTGGGATTATTTTGGGATAATTAGAGTTTCATCTCTAATTTTTTATTCTCTTTTGTGTACCGGTTGTCATAGTAAAATTGGTCCTCTCCGCTTGTGTGGACGTAGGTCATCTTGATCGAACCACGTTAAATTGACACCTTCTTTATATGCTTTAATTACCATTATTATTAACTTGCATTGTCTTTGTTATTATCATTATAACGTTGTTTGGCTAAATTCTGCACTATTCGGGGCCCCGATCCTAACAAATTGGTATCAGAGGCAGATCTAACCGGCTTAGATTCAGTAGCCAATATGACTTTAACAAAGACTTATATTGAGAAATTTGATCGAAGTGCAAACTTCGGGATGTGGGAATTAAAGATGGAAGCTATATTAGTTCAGTATGGCTTAGACTTGGCATTGCAAGGAAACGAGAAAAAATATGATAAAATAACGGACGAGGATTTGCCGTCATAGACGAAAAGGCAAATCAGATATTATCTTAAATCTCTCAAATGAGGTTTTATGTGAAGTTTCTATAGAAATCACAGGCAAAGGTATGTGGGAAAAATTAAAAATCTTGTATATGAAGAGGACGGTGAAAAATAGACTTCACCTGAAGCAGAAGCTTTATACAATTTGTAGGGGTGAAGGTACCTCTATTCTCTCTCATCTTGACACCTTTGATTCCATTCTTATGGATTTGAGCAATATAGACACTGAAATTAAAGATGAGGATTAAGCCGTGTTACTGCTTTGTTCTCTACCTCTATTTTATAAGCATATAAGAGATACTATGTTTTATGCTAATGATAATCTATCTTATAAGGATATCAAATTTATCTTAAAATCAAAAAAACAGATAGATAGTGATATTACTGGGGAAGCTAGTGGAACTCATGCGGAAGTTGGCTGGTTTGTTAGGGGTAAATCCGACTCAACATCCAGATACAAAAATTTAGAGTGTCGCTATTGTCATAAGAAAGGTCACATTATCTCCGAATGCTATGAGCTGAAAAATAAAGAAATGCATAAGGAAAGGAAAATGAACACAAAGATACTTACACCGCTGAAGCTAGTGTAGCAACTGATGTGATTGAGGGAACTATATTTTTAGCAACTAAAACTAGTTTCAGATAAGACAATGAGTGGATTTTAGATTTCGACTGTTCGTAACATATGTGTCCCAGCAGGGACTTATTTTCTACGTATGATTCAGTTGAAGGTGGAGTTGTCCAATTGGGTAACAATTCTACTTGTAACGTTATTGGCAAATGTACAATTCAGATCAGAATACACGATGGTGTGGTGAGAACTCTCACCGATGTTAGATATGTTCCTGAGTTGAAGAAAAATCTCATCTCTTTGGGCACTTTAGAATCTCTTGGGTGCAAATTCACAAGTGAAGGTAGAGTTCTAAAATTTTTCAAGGTGCTCTTGTGATCATGAAAGCACACATATCTGGTTCATTGTATACTTTATTGGGATCTACTGTTATAGGCACTACTACAGTTTCGGTATCAGACAACTTGTCTGATTTTGATGGCATTAAATTTTGACAAAAGCTCATTGGGGCTTTTCGGAGGTGGAGTAAAATAACTATATCATCCAATTTAGGCCAAGGTAGAGATTTGTAAGACATGGCTAAATTTGTCTATGGCTAATCTTAGAGCCAAAGTATTCAAACTTGGAGCCAAGCATTCTTGTGGAACCAAAGAAAAAAGTACTTTCTTTTATTCATTTTTCTTTACTTGGGGACCAAGAACGTTGCCTTATAAATATGGGTCATCTTACTTCATTTTAATCATCCCACATATTGAATAGAAACTCCTTTTGAGATTTCTTGTAATAGAGAGTTATATTCCATAGAATTAGAGTTGGGAAACACTTTGAGTGAACCTCTTCTTTGTGGGTGATTGTTGCGAGGTTATTCTCTTGGGATATATTTTGGGATAATTAGAGTTTCATATCTAATTTTGTACTCTCTTTTGTGTACCGGTTGTTATAGTAAAATTGCTCCTCTCCGCTTGTGTGGACGTATGTCATATCTTGACCGAATCACGTTAAATTGGTGCCTTCTTTATATGCTTGAATTAGCATTATTATCAACTTGCATTGTCTTTATTATTATCATTATAACGTTGTTTGGCTAAATTCTGCACTACCCATGTTCCCGATCCTAATAAATCTTTACACCAGCACTATTAAGCACATTTGAGTCTCATTGCAATAAAGTTGTGAAACTCTTTATTCTGTATATATTCTGATAAGTGATGGGGAAGGTGCACAAATAGCCCATGTTTAAAGAATAGTTAAAATTTACAATATATTTTAAGTTTGGCCGTCTCTGAATCAACTTCTGAGTCGAGAGTTTCAAACTCAGACTCAGAGCTCTATTAAAACCTAACTTTAAACCTCACGTATTAAGTTTGTATGCAGCCGAACTTCCAACTCCACCTTTTCCTTTTCCTTTTCCCTACTGTTATGAATAAAAGTAGATAAAATTACCCCTTTTGAATTACTGTTTAAAACGGTTATTTAGTCTTAAACCTAACAGCGTCCAGACAAATCCTTTCTCAATTTGAAAACGGAATGACCAGCACAATTTATGGAAATTCCAACTTAGAAATTATAAAGGAAGCTTAATATCGTTCCCTTTTCCTTTTTTGTTTTCCTTTTTCTTGTCGGATGCAAATTTCTTTCACTATAAATAGAAAGACAACCAAATTCACAAATACTTGGGACAATTAATCATGCAAGAAAAATATCATCAACAGAAATCAAAGGCACATACCATAGTACGTAACAAGAGAAGTTCAGTGAAGAATTCAACAACAATGACAGATTCAGATTGTACGGAGTTTGAGATAACGAAATCCAGAAAGAGGTGTCAAAAGCTCATTAAACGTCCAATTGCAAGATCAAAAACTGTTTGTGATTATTTAGAAGAACTATATAAAAAGAAGTAAGTTCTTACACTTTTCTTTTTCTTCAATTTCCCGAGTTAAACTTTTAAAATTTTAAATTAGAATGATTTAGCTGCGATTAATATATGTGCCTTTTTTTTTTTTTTTTTTTGGTTGCTAATTGTAGGGGATCCATAAGAGAAGACGCACTAGGCAAATTGATCATTGAATTCAAGAAAGCGGTGCGATATGAATTTGCTCAGAATATGTACGAAACATATTTAATTTTGCTGATTTTTTATTGTAATTTGATTGGAAGATAACACTATTTAGGTGAGAAATATACTGATTAAATCAATGGTGTATGTTTTATTCAGTTGTGTTACTTTAACACACCGATGCGAAAATTCGTTGAAGCGAGGTTCTGCTTTGGAAATTGATCTTGCACTACAACTTATAGGTTTGTACATATTTCCATTAAATTACATTAGGGATATTGATTTATATTATTTCTCAATAGTCGGAGGCAAGATTTTAACTTTATAGTTCTGTATTTTAGAAAGATGACTTTGAGTGCTAATAATTAGGTTTTAAATTTAATATACGCTTATATTTAATAAATTTTATTTCTTAACAAAAATACCATGTTTAACCAAACCTATTAGATTCAACTGGTCTATAGCTGATAATAGTCATAATACTATTATTATACTCATTAATTGATTGGGATGTAGGATTGTTAGCAATAACACTTGGGGCTGGAGATCATGCACATGAGATATATGAATATTCACTAGAGTTTCTTCCTCAAGTTCTCAAATCCAAGTCATCTCATTCTGCCAAGGTAAACGTTTGTGTTTGATATTTTTTAAATATGATATGAAATAGTATTATGTTTATCTGGATTTTTAACATATTTCATGAAATTAAAATAAAATTACCAGGCATTAGAATGTTTGGCTATTGTCACTCTTATTGGTGCCAAAAATACTGATGAAACAGAAAGATCCATGGAGATTATATGGAAAATTATGAATGAAGATACAAAACCAAATGTAAGTCCTTGGGCCGAACATTAGCTTTGGTCCAAACTTTGTATTTATCTAAAGAAACTCATTGAATAATTTTAACAGAACTTAAACGGACTAGAATTCTGAACCTATAATTTTAATTTTCGCTATATTGTAGGTTGTTGCTGCAGCAATATCCGCCTGGTCTCTTCTCCTTTCAGAAATAAATGGATGGTGTGTTAATCACAAGAAATGGAAAGGGTATGATAAATACAAAATTATTGTTTGTTAACCTTTTACTTTTACTTGTACGACTTTTGATTTATTTGAATTAATTTTTCCAATTATATTTTTAGTTTAAATCTCTTGAAATTGGTGCAGGTTGTTCTCATATTTGCTGAAACAACTAGAGGAAGATTATGATCAAAATGTCAATTCTGCCTGCGTAGAAGCACTTGGTGTAATTTTTGAAAATGGTAGCCTTGAGAAATTTTCAGATGATGCAGAAAATTATGCAAACTTAAAAGACATGAAAGATGATATATTGATAAGAGCTTCAAGTGTTACCAAAGAAAATGCTTTAAAACTTCTTGAGGTATTTTAATTTCCTACTTAATTATGTCAAGAATTAATTAACATTTACAAAGTTTTCTTGTATTGTTAAGTAATAATCTATACTTTTCATTACAGGGTAATAGTGATAAGAAAATCACCCTCACAATATGTGAAACTGAATTGACCTTACGCTCTTTTTCACTCGTGAAGCAGGTAACTTTTTCTCATATTTTTTTCATCTGAATTGGATCGAATAAATGTAAATTCGCTTCGAAAAATCTCATATTGCAAGTAAAACGCTTCTTCGATTGTTATGCTTTTATTAAGTTTTATTAATAAGTCTTTCAAATGAACTTCTGTGACAGATTAATTATATAAAAAGATATCTAGGCGATGGCTTTATAAATCACATGAAGGTTAGTAAGTTTCATCCTTTTAATTTTTTCATGTATTTTGAATATTAATTACGTTAATATTGAATCTCATAATTATTTGATTGGAAATACAGGATAACGAGCACCTCCATAATATTTTTCAATTTTGGCCAGAAACAACTTATAGAGACGACGAAGATTTGTATGAACCCGAATTTGAAAAGGTGAGCTTTCTAAAGTTCTCGATTAATTTTTTTTATATATAGAGAGAGTTCTATTTTCGGTATTCTTTTTGTATGTTCATTTTTTATTTCTCTTTCTTTCTTCACCAATTAATTGTTTTCCCTCAAATTCTTAAGTACTGATAATGTCTTATTCGATATACGTATATTTAAGGTGGCTCTTCGAGTTTTTACACCTCACATTAGAAGGGAAGCTTGCATAAAGGTACGTTCTCACAAAATTAAATTCTCTTATATTCATTAATTATGATATGTACCTATAATAGAGATTTACCTATTATATTATACGTGACGTAACTATGTAAATAATGTTTACATTATTAATGCACAGAACTTATATACCTTTTTCATATAGTGATCTTGATTTGAATCGTTGTCGTCTGATTATGTACAATCTTGTCTAAAAAATTTCGAACAACTTATGGTGTTTGGCTGTAAATGACGCATATTCTAAAACTTATTTATTTTTATTTTTCATGGTTAAGTTATATAATTTACTTTGTTTCATTCCGGTGTTGTTCTATGCGGTTCTATTTCCTATATATAAAAAACTGTACGACTAAGTAATAAAGCTTTGATCATTATTAGTTGTATGTCATTTTCCGTACACTTTTGCCCCCTTTAATTTAACATACTAATACATTTTTGTATTACAATTATACCATTATTATTGCTTTATTCTTATTATATACTACTATTATTATTAATCAACATACATTCTTCATGTGAACTAATTAGATGAGCGTTATAGTTTCATAATCAATTTCCTTAGGTATTGTTTTTGAGCTTTTTATGCTTGTTGAACCGTCACTAAATCAACCAAACTTATGTAGTTTTCCACACAATAGATATTGGTTTGATTCTCTTCCCTTGTAATAGAAATATCAATACATTTAATAAAACTGTTATGACTAAGCTCAATATCCTTTTTTGTTATTATTATAGAGGATTTCCATGTCGCCTAGTTCTTTCTTGAGCAAGGCAAATACTCAATTGAGGAACAAATACAGGATGCTTGCAGAGGTATTTATGCTTCTTAATTTTGAGATTTTTATTTTTGTAAATTATGATTGTGATATACCGTTTTGATTGCTCATATTGCTCTCTCTGTGTTTTTTCATGAGCAGAAGACTAAGGCTGGAGAGTATGGAGTTGATCAAGAGTTTGAATACGATGAATACTAGTTGTGTTAGGATATTCTATAAATCATGCATTTGTTATAGTATTCTTTATGGAACAATTATTTACTCATTTATTCAACTCAATAAAGTTTTATATTAAATAGATCATGTATTTTGTCTGTGTATCTGTTACTTATATAGTAGATGATTTATTATATATAGTTTAGCTTATACACGGAAGATTAAATCATCGGTTCTTATAAGTCGTAAAGTTTATGTTCACAATCTAATGATGGAATTGGACAAACCATCGGACTGGTTGTAACACAAGATTAAATATAATTTATTTTGGTTATGTGAATGGTTTAATTCTGATATCTTGAATATCTTGTGCTAGTACATTTTGTATGTATTGAATGGATAAGTAGATATAATTATTTTATACTTACTTAATACAATAATTCTCTAGTCCATTCAATGTACTTATACTCTTAAGTTTGATATAATTATTATTAATTATGTGTCATTTGTTGTTTGATTTATTAAATGGCGAGATTCTTTCGTCGGTAAATAAGCCTGATAAATTGGACAATAATGCTATACATTGGCGAAATAGTAATTAGTTGATAAAATTCTTGTCTCGGTTTTGAGATTGATGATACTCCTTTATGAAAGCTTATAAGTTTTCATGTGTAAATCCGGCCGGTGAATTTTGTATTCGGCATATGAAATAAGTTAAGCGAAAATCTAAAGGAAGTAATCAATAAACTAAATTATCGGTAATTTGATTTGATTTATTAGTATATGAATCTTAACATGGCGAGTTAAATAAAATTTTATGGAAGAATTTGAAATTAAACTAAGGAGTGCAATTATATTTTTTTAGTGGAAGTATTCGTAATTTATTATGGTAGATATTGTTTTCAAATTGAGTCTTGTTAATTAAATTATGTGGTCCGTACTGCGCCAAAATAATAGGAAATAAAATAAACATTTCCTTGGTCAACATGTTTTGGAATAGGGGTTTTATCCTAAAAACGTGTCTATATATACACGGGTTTTTTTTCCGTAGAGCTGACCGAAAATTTGGTGCTGTTTCTTGAAATTTCGTCCACACGAATTGCGAGATGGTTTTGGAGATCGTGATCGTGCTACTTTGGAACTGGAGACCAACGTGATAGAATTACTTTGTTCACGTTTCAAAAGGTAACTCGTGTAAACCATATATGTGCTAATTATTTAATTTTCACGTGAATTCGATACCGAAATTGCTTCCTCTGCGTCATAGATTTTATATCACTTAGAAATTCTAAAAAAAAAAAGTGGACTGTCTCTCGCTTTACTTTAGTTGTAAAACACTTAATTTCTTTCTATACTGGATGAAACTGACTCCTTCAGAGGACTTATTTTCACATTCGTCACGTTAACGGAGTCATATAGTAGCTGTTCCATTGACACTGTGCTTACTTTTCCTTGAATTTTCTCTTATGTTATTACTGCATCTGCATTCACATAATTGTTTGCCTTTTCATACCCTTTATATGTTTTCAGATGGATTATTGAGCATGTTTCATATAAAAGCAACACGGTTAAACGTTAAAAAAATACTTAGGAGATTTGAGTTCGATAGGATAGTAGAAAATGCTAATGGAGCGAGTAGGGGTGTTCATAAAAATCCGAAAATCAGAACCAAATCGACAACCAAACCATACCTACCAAAAAAACCGATACTTTTTGGTTTGGTTTGGTTTTGAAATTTAAAAAACGATCAAATTTGGTTTGGTTGTGGTTTTAATTAAAAAAAATCGAACCAAACTGAATATAAGAGTAGCTATTTCTAATTTATTATTACACCTATATATATGTATACTTTTATACAAAGTTTTAAATTTTTTATAGTAAATATTAATCGTTTGCACTTTTAGTACAATTCTTTACCTTTACATTCTAGTTTAATTGGTAGTTTTCTTTTGTTAAGTGTAAGAATCTATTTCATGTTAAAAATAATATATTTTTAATTGAGTCCTTAAATTATTCATCACTATTTAATTATCATCAATATATCTAGGTAAATAATAGATTTCTCAAAGGGCAATTGATTTGATAGTGTTACGTTGAAAATGTGATCGCCGAAATGTGTGTTTGTATGTATTATATTTAAGAAAAAACCAACAAATAACCAAAAAACCGAAAAACCGACATAAACCGAATCGAGAAAAAACCGACTTAATTGGTTTCGTTTGGTTCTAATATTTGAATGTAACGACCCAACTGGTCGTTTTGAGCAATTACGTTCGGTTCGGCAGTTTGAGGTCACAAGCAGCGTGATATTATGTGTATCGACTTGCGTGCGCAGTCCGGACGTAAAACCGGAAAGCTTTTATGTGAAAATATAAAAAAATATAGTAATTTCTAGAGTTAAAATTTAGTTTTAGTTGACTTTGGTCAATATTTTTGGTGAGCGGACCCGGATCTGTGTCCCGATGATTCCGGGAGGTCCACGATAAAATATGGGACTTGGGCGTATGCCCGGAATTGAATTCCGAGGTCCCTAGCTTTAGAAAATAATTTTTGAAGAAAATTGTTGTGCTAGTTTTTAAAGGAAATAAAGAAATGAATTAATGTTTGAACTCGTTGGTATCGGGCCCGTATTTTGGTTTCAGAGCCCGATACAAGTTTGTTGTGATATTTAAGTCCTATCTGTATAATTTGGTGAGAATTGGAATTGATTTGACGTGATTTGGACGTCCGGTTGAAAAATTAGAAAAATTTGAGTGTCCTTGAGAAAATCATGAGTTTTGAGGTTAAATTCGTAGTTTTTGATGTTATTTTGATGATTTGATCGCACGAGCAAGTCCGTATGATATTTTTAGACTTGCGTGCATGTTTGGTTTGGAGCCCCGAGGGCTTGGGTGAGTTTCGGATAGGTTTAGGCTATGTTGCGCTTGTTTTTGGATGCTTCATCGTCGTTTCTTCAAGCAAAAATAATACCATATTGAGAAAATGAGATCCAAATTTAGTTTTCTTTGAATTATTAGATCCGTATCGAAATTACGGATCCATAGGAAAAAGAATCATCGAATTTGGATATCGTATGAGGAAGTTATGCTCATTTTCATATCGGGAAAATTTGTTGGTTTCTGGTGTGTTCGCAAATGCAAACTTTTTCATCGCATTTGCGACGCCCAGTTCGCAAATGTGAACTTTTTGTCGCAAATGCGACTTCTGCCAGGCCTGATTTGTTCGCAATTTGCGAGAGTTCGCAATGGCGAACCCTGGGTCGCAAATGCGACATCTGAGGCCTGTTAAGTGAGGTTTTTGACGAGATTTTAACCCATTTTTCAATTTTCTCAAATCCTAAACCTCCATGGGCGATTTTCCAAAGACCCAAACTTCTCCAAATTACTGGGTAAGTGTCTCTAATCAATTTCCAACTATATTTTGTGATTATATCTTAGATTTAACATCAAATTCATAAGAATCTAAAGGAAAATTTGGAAAAAATTGTGAAATCTTTCAAAAATGTAAAATGATGATTTGAATGACCAAATGGTATCGGAATTAGATAATTTTTGTATGGGTGAACTCGTAGCAAAATGGGTGTTCGAGTTTCATAAATTTTATCGGGTTCCGAGGGCGGGCCCGGGGAGTTGACTTTTTGCAAATTGTATAAGAATCATAATTTTGTTAATTGAAATTATTTTCTCTTGCATTGTTTGATGTATTCAACTCGTTTTTGGCTAGATTGAGCCGGGCGTTGATGAATTGGTAAAGGAAAAGCTAAATTGAGTATTGAATTGGTCGGATTGAGGTAAGTATCTGGCCTAACCTTGTGTGGGGGACTTCCCCTTAGATTTGAGTCTTCTATGCTAATTGTAGTCCGTGCACGTGGGGTGACGAGTGTTTGCTCGGACTTATTTGTGAAAAATTTTCCTTTAGGGTTCTTAGGTCCTTATGTTCATTATGTGGGAAGTATTCCGTTATGATTGAGTTTCCTAATTGCTTAATTTACCTCTATATGCTCCATACGATGTTGTTAGCTTTCCTCGAATTCCTACTTGTTACTTGACCCTTAATTGCCTTAATTGAAGTGATTGCCTTCCTTATTGTTTTGGTACTTCTTGATTGTGAGTTTCTCTATGACTTCGTGCAAATATATGTCCAATTGTTATGGGACCGGTGTAGTTATCACGTGCTTATTGTGTCTTGTTGTTTAGTTAAAGTTATTGTGCTTCTTGGTTTTTCCGTGATCCTTATTAGGTACTATTCATGCTTAAATTGGCGATTATTCATGTTGAACAAGACTTATGGCATTCTCTTGGTAACTAACCATTGTTGAGTATTGACTCGAGTTGAGATCTATATTGCGAAGCTAACTGGTGAAACAAGATTGGTTATTGTTGATTCCCTTGCCGGGATGTTATTGTTTCTATTGTTGATTCCCTTGCCGGGATGTTATTGTTTCTATTGTTGATTCCCTTGCCGGGAGGTTATTGTTTTTATTATTGATTCCCTTGTCGGGATGTTATTGTTTCTCTTGTTGATTTCCTTGCTGTGATATTATTGTTTCTATTGTTTGGGTGAGGAAGATTGTAAAGCACGAAGGGTGATGCCGTGCATGATATTGTAAGAGTGAGTTAAAGCACGAAGGGTGATACCGTGCCACATTATTGAGAGTAAAAGCACGAAGGGTGATGTCATGCCACATTATTGTGAGTAAAATCACGAAGGGTGATGTCGTGCCACATTATTGAGAGTAAAAGCACGAAGGGTGATGCCGTGCATGATATTGGGAGGAAGAGTGTAAAGCACGAAGGGTGATGCCGTGCACTTTCTGTTTGTTGTGTTTCTTTGTAGTTATCAATTCAAGTGTGTTAATTGTTCAGATTTCTTTACTGCTGCGACTCTTGTGATGGAACCCCATAGAGTTTTCAATACTTCGCCGTATTTATATATATATATATATATATATATTTCAATACTTCGAATTTCAACAATTGTTTCATTTTTAATTCAATTAGTTACTCAAATAAATTCCCTTAATCCGTTTTAGGTTGTATTTTACTTAAAAGGAATTCTACTAGTTAATTC